TATATATATATATATATATATATATATATATATATATATATATATATTTATATATATATATATATATATAAATATAAATAAATAAATATGTAAATAAACAAATAAATATATAAATTAAATTAATAAATTTATACAGAGAGAGGCACCTGAATAAGGAGACACTCAACGATATAAACAAAAAAGGAGACAGTTATATAAACAAAAAGGAGACAGTTTAAATAAACAAAAAGGAGACACTTATATATATATATATATATAAACAAAGATAAATTTTTTTGGGGTTTATATTTATTCTTAAGAAAAGTAAAAACCCTATATATATACGCTGCGGGGAGAGGAGGTGAGGAGACACCTGGCGGGGGGCGGAGACACTGGGGGAGGTGCGGAGACACCTGAAGGGGGTGCGGAGACACCTGAACGAGCTGAGGAGACACTTGAAGGGGGTGAGGAGACACCTGGTGTGTGTGGGGTGGGGTTGGGGGGGTGAGGAGACACCTGGGAGAGGTGAGGAGACACCTGAGAGAGGTGCGGAGACACCTGAGCGAGGTGCGGAGACACCTGAAAGAGACGTGAGGAGACACTTGAATAAACGCGGCGGGGAGGAGAAGGAGACACTTGGTTTAGGTGAGGAGACACCTGGATGAGGTGCGGAGACACCTGAGAGAGGTGCGGAGACACCTGAAAAAGGTGAGGAGACACCTGAAAAAGGTGAGGAGACACTAGAACGAGGTGAGGAGACACTTGAAGGAGGTGCGGAGACACCCGAAAGTACCCGCAGCTGTCTTTGCTGCTGCTGCTAGCTGCGAATACACCTCGTCCCCTGCTGCAGCGTAACCTAAGGGAAAATCTGTGTAACGCCCGCGTCTGCTGCTGCTGCTGCTGCTGCTGCTGCTGCTGTTGCTGTTGCTGCTGCTGCTGCTGGTGCTGCTGCTGCTGCTGGCGACGCCGAGGAATGGTTAAAAAAGCAAATCTGTGCTGCTGCTGCTTCCACCTGCAGCAGCAGGTGCCAACGGCACCACTATACTGCTGCTGCTGCTGGTGTTTCTGCTGCTGCTGCTGCTGTTGCTGTTGCTGCTGCCGCTGCTGCTGCTGTTGCTGCTGCTGTTGCAGCAACTCTGCTGCTGTATCAATAGCGCAGCCCTGAGGGTTTCACAAAAAACCAACGGGGAGAAAAGAGCCGCTCCGCTGCTGCTGCAGCTACTGTTGCTGCTGCTGCTGCTGCTGCTGCTGCTGCGGTGGGGGCTGCTGCTTGTGCTGTTGCTGCGGCAGCGTTTGCTGCTGCTGCAGCAGCAGCAGCCTCTGCTGCTACCTGCAACTGTTTATAAGAAAGCGACGGAATCATATAGGCCCACTATACTGTGGCGAGTGAGCCCTGCAGCTCAGCTGCTGCTGCTGTGGATGCTGCTGCTGCTGTTGCTGCTGCTGCTGCTGCTGCTGCTGCTGCTGCTTATCTCGGGGCAGCGCGGCAGCAGCGTGAGCAGCTCACATAGAAGAACCTTTGCTGCAGCAGCAGCAGCAGTTGTGTCTCCTCCAAGCCGCAGCGTCGCATGCAGGCCAAAAGACAACAAGGAAGAGAGCGCTGCGATCAGGCTGCAGGTCTGCAGCAGCAGCAACAGCAGCAGCAGCAGCAGCAGCAGCAGCAACAGCAGCAGCAGCAGCAACAGCAAAAGCAACCCATTAAAATCTGTATAACACTAGCTGCAGAAGCAACAGCAGCAGCACGCAACAGCAACACGAGAAGCAGCAACAGCAGCAGCACTCCACGCCAGCAGCAGAAGCAGCAGCAACAGCAGCAGCAGCAGCAGCAGCAGCAGCAACAGCAAACCTGCTGGTTTTCTTGACGACTGCCTGCAGCAAGTGCTGCTGCTGCAGCAACCAGGGAGCGCAGTGTCTGAGCTGATTCGTTTATATGCAGCACGAGCAGCTGCATGAGGCCATGAGAGGCACCGAGAGCAGCAGCAGCAGCAGCAGCAGCAGTTGCTGCTGCTGTTGGTGCTATTCCTGCTGCTGCTGCTGCTGCTGTTGTTGTTCTTCCTATTGCTGCTGCAGATGACGGAGTCACCTCCCCTAGAAAAAGCTCATCACTGCTGCATCGCCCAAACATCTGCTGCTGCTGCTGCTGCTGCTGCTCCTGCTGCTGCTGCTGCTGCTGCTGCTGCTGCTGCTGCCTCCGCGCTGCCCGTTGCCGCACACTATAAAAGCCCAGCCGTTTGAGTATGGATGAAAATACAAGCGGGCAGTGTTGCTGCTGCTGGTGGTGATGCTGCTGCTGCTGCTGCAGTTGTAGCTGCTGCTGTCGGCAGCTGCTGGCAGCAGATTGCTGCTGCAGCAACCCCTGCATGCAGCATGTAAACAAAAGAGACAAATGCTCGTCCTGTGCTGCTGCTGCTGCTGCGCTCTGTTCTATGAGGGGGTGTAGACTAGCAGCAAGAAAGGCCTCGAGGGACTGCAGCACGAAGGTGCATGCAGCAACAGTAATAAGCCTTTGTTGCAGTGTTGCTGCTGCTGTTGCTGCTGTTGCTGTTGCTGCTGCTGCTGCTGCTGCTGTTGCTGCTGCTGCTGCTGGCAGCTTAGACCGCAGCAGCTGCCACGCAAGGCCCCGCAGGATCTCCATATGTCTGCTGAGAACCAATCCAGCAATAACATACGGGTCCTGCTGCTGCTGCTGCTGCTGCTGCTGCTGCTGCTGCTGCTGCTGCTGCTTCTGCTGCAGCAGCTGATGCATCTGCTGCGCCACGTGTATACGACAGGAGACAGCCAGCAGCATCCCCGCAACAGCAACAACACAATGTCTGCTCTGCATGCACAGCTGCTTCTCTGCTGCAGCCCACTTGCTGCTGCTTTCTACTGCTGCATCCTTCTTGCTGCTGCTGCTGCTGCTGCTGCTGGCTGCTGCTGCTGCTGCTGCAGGTATAGCAGCAACAGCATCAACAAGGTGCAGCGCGAAGCAGCAGAAGCTGCGCGTTGATATGGGGCTGTCTGGCGGCTGCTGCCAGCAGCAAACACCAGCAGCATCAGCAGCAGCACAAAGCTTCAGCAGCGACACACAGCCTAGGTGATCTTCTTTGGAGGATAGGGGGAACCCCTGCTCGTGCTGCTGCGGCAGCAGCAGAGACTGCTGCAGCAGCAGCAGCACCGACGGCAGCAGCTGCTGCTGCGACAGCAGCCACCAGTCTAGGGCCCCTATCAGCTGCAGCGTGGAGCTCAGCAGCAAGCGGTGAGACCTGAGGACCCAGGGTACTTTTCCTGCTGCTGCTGCTGCTGCTGCTGCTGCTGCTGCGTCAGCTGCTGCTGCTGCTGCTGCTGCTGGAGCAGGGATTGATGATACTGGTGACAACAAACCCAGCAGCAGCTGCTGCAGCGCCCCGCTGCAGCGCCAGTCTGCTGCATGCGCTACTGCAGCAACTGCATGCAGTATAGATTCAAATGCTGCCCATGGCTGCTGCTGCTGCTGCTTCAACTGCTGCTGCTGCTGCTGCTGCTGTTTCCTCTGCTGCTGCTGCTGCTGCTGCTGCTGCTCTTCTGCTGCTGCTGCTGCTGCTAGTGCTGCTGGGGTCTCCCGCAGCAAAGAGAAGGCTGTCTGCGTCAAGTCAGGAAGAAAGCCGTCGTGCAGCCGATACACCATCTGACGCTCAGGAGCAAACAAGTTGCTGCAGC